AAGTGAGTTCCAGGAAAGGCGCAAAACTACACAGAAACCCTGTCTCGAAGAAAAAAAAAAAGATGTTGGCCTTGGTCCTTAGTGTACACTGCAACAAGAGAGGCAGCCCCAACCCTCATGGGAAAGCTGTCCTCCCACCCCCAAACTCAGGAGCGATGACCCCACCTCTCACCATGGGTGAGGGACTACTGATCCTGATGGAATGGGCTTAGGGGAGCTGGCTCTGCCCATCACCTGGTGAGGGGCAGTGTGTGTGGCCCCAGTGGCCCCGACTGACCAGCTCAACTACCAACCACTCAGGCCCACTGGGCCTGGGGTTGGCCCACCCCAGCATCTACGCTATCTTTTTCTTTGCTTGTTTTGTTTTGATTTTTTTTTTTACTTTTCTTTTGGGAGGGCACTACAGGAATGAGGGGAAGATATGGAGGGACTAGGAGGTGAGTGGAATTGGGGTACATGATGTGAAATTCCCAAAGATTCAATAAAGAAATTATGTTAAAAAAAAAATGTTGGCCTTGGGCTGGAGGGGCTGGAGAGGTGGCTAAGCTGTCAAGAGCACTGGCTGCTCTTCCAGAGGTCCTGAGTACAATTCCTAGCAACCACATGGTGGCTCACAACCATCTATAGTGGGACCTGATGCCCTCTTCTGACATAAAGGCATACATTTAGATGGAGCACTCATATACATTAAATAAAATTATAAACTAAAAAAAAGATACCTTCCCCCCCACCAAAAAAAAAAAAAAAAGATGTTGGCCTGAATCAGTTATAACCCTCCCTCCTCTCATTGTGATATACTCTTAGTCCGTGTGTGTGTATATGTTTCAGTTTTTGTTTTTGTTTGTTCTATTTTGAAAATATAAGGTTTTTAAAAAATTCTTTTTTGATTTTTTTATTTTTGTTTTTTTGTATTTTTGGTTGTGAGCCTAGCCTTTAACGGCTGAGTCATCTCTCCAGCCCTATTTTTTGTTTTTTTTGAGACAGAGTTTCTCTGTGTAGCTTTGGAGCCTTTCCTGGAACTCACTCTGTAGCCCAGGCTTGCCTCAAACTCACAGAGATCTGCCTGCCTCTGCCTCCCAAGTGCTGGGATTAAAGGCATGTGCACCACCATGCCCGGCAACTAGTTGGTTTTCAAAGAAAATGTTTGGATTTGGGAGGTCGCAAAGCCCTGGGTTCAATCCCTGGATCCATGAAAAAGCTAGAAAACAGTTCTGTAAGTCTTGGAGTTAAACACACATTCTCATCTACTTCTCACCTCAGACACATTGCTCCAGTGTTCAACCATCTACTGTACGTGAATGGAGCTGTTATCTCCACAGTTACCACTGTGGAGATGGGAAATCATAAGATGATAAGGCTCCCCCAAAGTGCTACATGGCCTGGGTGGCCAGGGCTGGTGACATCGGCCCTGCTCCCTCCAATCCTGCCAGTGCTGAGGGTAACTGTACAGACTGCTTAGTCCAGCCCGCCCCTCTTTACATAGAATATAGTTAATTCCATCATATAAACTAGGAGCAACCTTGTCAACAGAAAATTGACCACAAGCTACAGACAATGCAACATCAAACAAAGCAGAAGATACATGGAAAACTCATACCAACTGTGTAGGGTAAAGGGGGCCAGCCACCCTGGCCCTGAAACCAGAGCCAGCCAAAAAAACCCACCCTAGCCTCAAGACCTGAGCCAGTGAAAGAAACACACTTTAGCCCTGAGACCCGAGCCAGAGAAAGAAAAACTATAGTCCTGAACCCAGAACCTAAGAAACATGCCCTGACCCTGAAACCAGTCAGAAAAAGAAACACGTTTTGGCCCTAGAATCAGAACCAGTGAAAGAAATATGCCCTGCCCCTGAAATTAGAGTCAGACACTAAAAAGGGCCAGTGAAAGAAACACACTTTTGCCCTGAAACCAGAGCCAAATCTGCCCCTGAGCAGAAAATCAACCAATCCCTAAGCATGAGATCTAGCCAATCTGAGACCAAGGACTAAAATGTGACCATTTCCCACCCTGAAGATCTCCCTAGAAAAACTCCGCCCCTAAGAAGCCCTGTATAAGCCCTGCATCTGTTCAGTGTGTTGCTGTCCTTTTTCAAGCCTGGCAGAGGCAGTCACTCTCCTGGATTCTTCCCTCCCAATAAATCTCTTGGATGAGGTTTGGGTGAGACCTTCTTTCGCAGGGGCAGAGACAGAGCCCATCATCAATCTTAACAGAACAAGAAACAATACCTTCTAAAACAAAACAATATAAAATGGTCTAGAGAGATGGTTCAGTTCAAAAGTGCTATGTCAGCCTGAGGATTTGAGTTTGGATACGCAGTACCTACATAGAAAGTTTAGTATGGGGCTGGAAGATGGCTCAGAAGGGAAAAACTTGCTTTGTAAGTCTGATGACCTACGTTTGTTCTAAGAACCCACATAAAGGTGGGGAGAACTGACTCCAATGGTTTTCCTCTGACCTGCATACATGCACTGTGGCAGGCACACATACACATACTAAAATTTGAAGTACTAAAAAAAAAAAAAAAAAAAAGCAAAAACCCACAAGCACACATCTGTAATAACTCTAGCACCTGAAGATGGAGCCAGGCAGATTCCCAGAGTTCCCTGGCTAGCCCATCTAGCTGAATAGGCAAGTTCCAGGTTCAGTGGGATCCTGCCTCAAAGGGAAGGCAGAGAGTGACTGGGGAAGTCTCTTGATGCTGACTACACACACATGAACACAGCCCCCACCATCCCTTAAATGTATTAGTGATTCAGTAACAATTCTACAGAACTCAGTTTCTTCAAAACTTAAAGCACAAGAAAGATAGACCTATAGATTAAAAAGTGAACTTAAGTACCAAGAAAATACAAATGCAAAATACTGGCTGGGTGTGGTGGCATATGCCTGTAATGTCAGCAGTTAGGTAAAAGCAAGAGGGCCAGGAGTTTAAACTGCACCCTCTACCAAACAGTGAAGTCAGGGCGGGCTATTTGAGGCCATCTCAAAATACCAAAACCAAATACAAAACCAAGATAGAGAATTTGTCTAGATCTATTCTTTTTTTTTAAGAGTTACTTATATATATGAGTGCTCTATCTACATGTATGCCTGAATGCCAGAAGAGGGCATCAGACCCCATTATAGATGGTTGTGAGCCACCATGTGATGTGGTTGCTAGGAATTGAACTCAGGACTTCTGGAAGAATAGCCAGTACTCTTAACCACTGAGCTCCAGCCCAAACTTGTCTAGATCTATCTGTCTGTCTGTCTAATGTGCATTGGTGTTTTGCCATGCACGTTGTATCCCCTGGAACTGAAGTTATATACAGTTGTGAGCTGCCATGTGGTTGCTGGGAATTTAACTCAGGACCTCTGGAAGAGCAGCCAGTGCTCTTAACCTCTGAGCCATCTCTCCAGCCCCCTCCTGTCTAGATCTTAATTCAAACAATCTGTAAAAACAAAACAAAACAGGAAAACCAAGAAAACCTGAATGCTGACTGGTACCTTGTGTTAGAACTGTTAGCTGTCTGAGGTGCCTTGTCTTTAGTGGAAACTGAGTAACTCTCTACAATACACAGATGTGAAAAGTCTGTAATAGGGCCCAAAGCAATCCACTGGTGGCTGCAGATGGGGACATGATTAAAACTGACCACAAGACTAAAGTCAGAGGACAGGAATACATGGCTTTGTCCCACCAGCATTAATCTCTTTATTTCTGTGTATCTGTCAGAATTTCATGATAAAATATTCCTTCAAAAAAGAATCATTTTGATACTGTTAAATTATAAGATATCAATTACTTTCTTACAAAGACTTCCATAGAAGAAAAATAGAATGTTGGCTGTAGCACATACACTAGTGAATGAACTTCAACCCTTAAAGACTGTAAGTTACTGCAGGCTTGTTGGATCAATGAGAGACTTCAACAAGTGAGAACTGCAAGACAAGAGCAGACAGTTTGCTAAAGCAGCATCACTTCCAGGGAAAGGTGTGAATTCTGGAGCCAGGAGGGTCCAGGCTCGAAACCTAACTCCACTGTCCTATCTACCAGCTCAGGCACCTTCTGGGCAGGTCATTCGATCCCTGTGGACATCAGGCATCATACCCGTAAGTGGGGCAATAAAATTCCTTCATGGGTGAAGCAGGCAGCATCGGCACACACATGGTAAAGCGCTCGGGAAGGAGTCAACTCATTTCAGGACCCGATTTGGACCCTGAATACCCACCTCCCTTTGTCTGTCACTCTTGCAAGAAAGATTTGTCTCCTGACTGCTGGCATTAGTTCACAAAGTTTTCCTCTCATGGTTGCATGTAATAAAGTAATGGTATATTACTAAACTTTGACTGTATTCAAGATTCAACGCAGTACCAATTATGATACACTACTTTCCAATTTTTTTTTTTTTTTTTGAGACAGGCTTTCTCTGTGTAACAGCCCTGGCTGTCCTGGAACTCACTGTGTAGACCAGGCTGGCTTCGAACTCACAGAGATCCACTGCCTCTGCCTCCTGAGTGCTGGGATTACGAACGTGTGCCACCACCGCCCGGCCCAATTTTTGTTTTAAGATTATTCTGAAAGAGTAATTTGCAATTTAAAATTTCTTTTTTTTTTAATTTTTTTTATTTTTTTTGGTTTTTCGAGACAGGGTTTCTCTGTGTAGCTTTGCGCCTTTTCCTGGAACTCACTTGGTAGCCCAGGCTGGCCTCGAACTCACAGAGATCAGCCTGGCTCTGCCTCCCGAGTGCTGGGATTAAAGGCGTGTGCCACCACCGCCCGGCGCAATTTAAAATTTCAATGTCTGAGCAAAATACTTTTTTTTTTCCTCTTAAAAGAGTCTTTTGGCAGAGTCTCTTGTAGTCCAGACTGCCCTAGAACTCAGCATATAGGCAAGGGTCACTGCGAACTCTGAAGGTTCTGCTCCCCCGACCTCCCAAATGCTGGCGCTGCAGGGAAACACAGCCATGCCCAGGTGTGAGCAAAGTATTTCCAACACACCATGAAGAAATTCTGAGACAAATTAATTTTGTAAAAAATGTTTATCAATCCTATTTTTGTATAAAACACAAGGGAGAAACCTGGTCAATCACCACATGACCATGACCACAGGGAAAGGGACTTATCAAACTTCGAGAGTCTAAAAACATACAAATGTTTTTTATCTTGTCTACAGCAATTGTCTATGCTTTTCCACAGGTGTTCTGTCCCAGTCACAGACAGTGAGGGAGAGCAGGTTGGTGCAACACTTCCTAAGCAGTTTTCTGCTGTCCCTTCTTCCCAATCAGGGATTTGTGGATGTGCGGGATCACACCTAGAATGAAATTTAAAAAATATTTTAATGTACTTTTCTTTATTTTAATAACACTCGGTATATCTTAATGCTTTAATGCTAAAGCAAACAGGCAATTATATAAAGGGTGGAATTTATTTAAGTCCCTTTTCACATTTGAATCCTATTAAACCCACAGGAGCCCATGAACCCTTCGACAGGAATAGTAAATGTAGCTAACTACAGCCATCACAAGGTTCTGTAAGGATTCAGCAACTTACCTCACACCTTTATAGATCCCCAATACACAATCATTTTGGTCCTGCCAAGTCTATCACATTAAGCAACTTCTCAGGATCATGTTATTTCTCTAGCATAGTTCACAATGTGTGAGGAAATATCTTAAACCTTAGGCTTGAAGTATCCAAGCTAAAATAAAAGCAGCACTACACATGACAACAGAATAAAGATTTACTCAGATCACTATGAAAAGAGGCCTGGAGAGTCCTGAGTTGTGGCTCAATTGCAGTATTTACTGTAGCATTTATGAGGACCTAGGTTCACCCCACCACCACCACCAGAACTTGTAGTATACTTAACACTTGTGGAATTACAATTCATAGGGTTTCTAGTTAACCATTCAAATGTACAGAATCACTGATCTGAATGATAGATATATTAATAATACATACCGCCCCCAGCTATGGTAGCCTTGATAAGTGAATCCAACTCTTCATCACCTCGGATTGCAAGCTGCAAGTGACGTGGAGTGATGCGCTTTACTTTGAGATCCTTGGAAGCATTACCTGCCAACTCCAGCACCTATAAAGCATCCACGAAATAACACAATTAAGGAAACAGTAGGTTTCCAATTGCAGGAGAACAAGTCTCTGTACCTGTATCTAGTACGGTTCTTCCTGTATCACCCTATGCTTTTACGACACTCAATACCTCCCACCGACTCCCCTCATATTCATTCCTTGCACAAACATATAGAGAAACATACAAAAATCTCTTCTTCCCAAGACAGGGTTCCTCTGTGTAGCCTTGGCTGTCCTGGAACTTGCTCTATAGACCAGGCCGGCCTCGAACTCACAGCGATCCCTGCCTCTCGGTGCTGGGATTAAAGGGGTGCGCCCACCCGGCCGACAATGAATTTCTAATCCCTCCTGTCTCCATCTCCAAGAGCGAACATCACAGGTGTCCACTGCACTCCCAATGCACTGGAGACTGAACTTAGGGCTTCATGTCAGCCAGAGCAATGCCTTGTTGCTGTTTGTAGACATGGTCCCTCTTTGCAGCTGTCTAGTCTGGAATTTTGGGATTACAGTGTACCCGCTTGCCCATCAAACACTGCATTTGTTATCTGTCTATACCTGCCATCAGCTCTATGGGCACTGTTACATCTTTGATAGATGTAACAAAAATAACTCCACAGAGCATCCTCATTTAAGCAGAGCAGAGACTATATCATACATCTGAATCAAATGTTGGCAAGCTTCAAAACCTCCCAGTGCCTTACCTCAGGCCTCTCGCTGGTCTAGGGTGAGCCCTGCATCAGTATGTTTTGAAAGCTCTCCATGAGGTTCTAGTGAAAGCCAAGCCTGAAAAACGATTACCCCTGACATAAACTGTTGGCTCAGGGATCACAGTTTTACCTCTATTAAATAACAAAACTCTGTATATGTTTTTGTTTTTGTTTTTTTGAGACAGGGTTTCTCCGTACAGCCCTCGCTGTTCTGGAACTCACTCTGTAGACCAGGCTGGCCTGGAACTCAGAGATCCACTTGCCTCTGCCTCCTGAATACTGGGATTAAAGGCATGAGTCACAACTGGCTGGTCAAAGCTCCAAATTTTTTTTTTTTTTTTTTTTTTTAAAGATTTATTTATTTATTATGTATACAGCATGTATGACTGTGGGCCAGAAGAGGGCACCAGATCTCATTACAGATGGTTGTGAGCCACCATGTGGTTGCTGGGAATTGAACTCAGGACCTCTGGAAGAGCAGACAGTGCTCTTAACCCCTGAGCCATCTCTCCAGCCCAAAGCTCCAAATTTAAATACCTAGAACATGCTGACTTCTTTAAAATGCATTTCTATAGCACCTGTTTTTTGTTGAACTGGTGGACAAAGACATAGAAGACAGGTGCAAAACTGAACCCCCTGTGCTACCCAGAATTCATGGTTCATTCTGAGTTTTGATGCATATAAGACATGATACTTAAGACAGAGTAAAAATGGCACTGTCCTAACAATGAGGCTGACTCTAAGAATAAAGGAGGTGATAAATTAAAAGCATAAAAAACTAAAACTACAGGGCCTCACACAAGCTATCTATGTACCTACCCTCTCACCGAGCTGTATTTGTAGAAAGTCTACACAAGCTATCTATGTTCCTACCCTCTCACCGAGCTGTATTTGTAGAAAGTCTAATTCTACCCTAAAAACCTTGGTCAGCTGTGAGTGAAACATATAATATCAGTCACTTGAGGGGCTGAGAAAGGACTCCACGTCTAATGTCAGCTGTGGCTGTCTGCAAGACTGCCTTAAAGAAATTAAGGACGGCCGGGCGGTGGTGGCACACGCCTTTAATCCCAGCACTTGGGAGGCAGAGCCAGGCGGATCTCTGTGAGTTCGAGGCCAGCCTGGTCTACAGAGCGAGATCCAGGACAGGCACCAAAACTACACAGAGAAATCCTGTCTTGAAAAACCAAACCAAACCAAACAAAAACCCCAAAAAACAAAACAAAACAAAAAAGAAAAGAAAGAAACGAAGGAGCCTCAGTGGCTAAGAACACTGACTGCTCTTCCACAGAGCCCTGGTTAAATTCCCAGCACCCACATGGTGGATCATAATCATCTTAACTCCAGACCCAGGGTACCCGACACCCTCTTCTGGCTTCTGTGGGCACTGAAAGCAGGTGGTAAGCAGACAGACAAGCAGGTAAAACATCCAAATACATAAAATAATAAAACAAGACAAAAACCCCAAAGGACTAGGGATGTAGATCAGTATAGAGTGGTCCCCCAACTCACAAGATCTTGGGTTCAATCTGAAGTACCACAAAGAAAATGTACCTGACATGTGAAAATAGGAATGTAGAGAGACCTCAAATGGTGTGAGCTATAATTCTATGTGTCACAGCACTCGTAAATGAAAATGCTTATCTTCACAGAGCCTGCAGTAAACTACAAATCTGGGATAGGATCAAAGAAGAAAGTGTCTCAACTGACATCAAAGTGCCCTCACGAAGCCTTTGCCTTAGAACACAGCAAAGCTCAACTCCCCATAAATCACAGTTGCATCCTGAACAGGATGATGAACTAAATGACAGCAATGATATTAACGTGCACTACAGCCACATTTCCCAGCTTGGCTCCCATCACATCTTCCCCATTAAGAATCTTCCGCTTGGCTTGGCTGTCTTTACCATCTGACTTGCTTGCTACTCCATTACTTGCCTGGTTTGGAATGTAGCTTCCAGCATTTCATGCCTTCCTATGCGTTTTCCAGAAGGGGGCTAGAGACAGGGAAAGAAGAGCCAGGATCCTCCTAGTAAGAAGTTTTGCCAAAGTAACTTATCTAACTGAAATGTGAGGCACATTTGTAACCAGGAGGGAAGGATGCTAACTCTTACTCACTGTATCAGAAGGTACTTGATGTTTACAGTCTGGCTTTTGTCTGCTGTTTTGAGGACAGGGGCTCTCTAAATGGCTCAGGATGGCCTCAAACTCACAATCTTCCAGCTCAGCCTCCTGAGTGCTAGGATTACAAGCACATGCCACCATGCCTGGCTGGATCATTCTATTTCGGATCTTCATAAACTAAGAAAGCATGCTGTAACTTCATGAATATTGTCTGTCCCCACTACCCCCCACCTCCCACCCTCCCACCCACCCAGGTTTTTTTTTTTTTTGAGAAAGGGTTTCATGTACCCCTGGATAGCTTTGAATTTACTATGTAGCCAAGATGACTTGGGTTCCTGATCCTCCTGTCTCCACCTCTTAAGTGTTGGGAAACAATCCCAGGACTTCATGTATGCTAGGCAAGGACCCTTGAACACTGCCAAATGACTAACATATATATTGGACAATATTTCTTTCTTTATCAACATGTCACTTAAAAATGTGGTTTGCAGGCTGGAGAGATGGCTCAGAGGTTAAGAGCACTGGCTGCTCTTCCAGAGGTCCTGAGTTCAATTCCCAGCAACCACATGGTGGCTCACAACCATCAATAGTGAGATCTGGTGCCCTCTTCTGACACACAGGCACACTGTACACAAAATAAATAAATAAATTAATTAATTAATCTTTGGGGTTAGGGATTTAGCTCAGTGGTAGAGCGCTTGCCTAGAAAGCATAAGGCCCTAGGTTCGGTCCTCAGCTCTGGGAAATTAAAAAAAAAAAAAATGTGGTTTGCTGGCCCTCACTTAAATGTTAAAAAAACAAAAACCAAGTATACTAGGACTCCTTTTAAAATTGGCAGAGTGATACCTTGACGAGATGGCCTAGTCTACACAGAATTTCAATCAGTCAGAGTTATCTGTCTCTAGCAAGCCAAATCAACAAACAAAACCTTCCCCAAACTAAGTAGAACATAGAGCGAGTTCCAGGTCAGCAGAAGCTGCTGTCTCAGAAAGCGACACAGAGAGGAAAGAAGGGGATTAGCCTATAGAAAAATGTCTGCCGTACATCAAACAGTGAAGGGAAAGATGAATAGGAGTTTCACTTATACAACTTAAGCAAAACATAGCTCTCTGAACAGATGAAGATAGGTCTCTTCTGTATCCCAGGATCTAATCAATATTTATATGTATAATTCAGCTATCATTTGGCTTAAAAGGGCTTATTGGGAAATGTTATCATTTATACTATTTTCTACAGAGAAAATATTTTCCAGTTTAAAATAACCCTGGACTTTTAAATTATAACCTGTTTTTATGTTCAGGCTATCTGAGTATTATTTCTCCTGCAGTTGTACATAAAATGTTTTTACATTCAAAAAAAGGACAAATACTATAGAATTGTATTACATGAAATATACAGAATATACAAATTCATAGAGACAGAAAGATTAGACATTATCTCAAGATAGAGAAGAAAGGAATATAGAGCAATGATTTCCTAAGTACAGAATCTCTGTTTTGTGTGATGGAAAAACCTCACAAATGGACAGTAGTATCAGGACATAATATCATGAATGTAATAAATCAATACAATTAATGTAATTAATGAATATCATAAATATAATTATTGTGGCACACGCCTTTAATCCCAGCACTCGGGAGGCAGAGGAAGGCGGATCTCTGTGAGTTTGAGACCAACCTGGGCTACAGAGTGAGTTCCAGGAAAGGTAAAAAGCTACACAGAGAAACCCTGTCTCGAAAAACTAAAAATAAATAAAATTATTGAATGAATACTGCGAATGTAATCGATGAATACCACAAATGTAATTGATATCATGAGTGTAATTAATGAATATCATGAGTGTAATTAAAAAAATAAATTAATTAAATTAAAAAAAAAAAGAAAGAAAGGAAAGAATGAAGCAGCCAGTGAGGAGGTCTACTTCTGCAACCCCAGCACCTGGGAGGTGGAGACCAGGATCAAAGGCTCATGGTTACCCTCTGTATGCTGGAGTTTGGGGCCAGACTAGCCAGTATGAGGTTCAAAAAAACGAAAGTGCATTAATCTCTTTAGAAGTATTTTCAGAAGAAAAAAAAAAAAAAGGGGGGGAGGGCGCTGGAGAAATAGCTCAGTGGTTAGAAGCACTGCTGCTCTTCCCAAGGACCCAGGTTCAATTCCCAGAACCCACATTAGAGCTCGAAACTGTCTATGGCACCTGTTCCAGGGATCAGACACCATCACACAGACATAAATACAGGCAAAACACCAGTGTACATAAAACACAAACAAATAATTAAAATAAGTATTCTCCATGTAGCCTCGGACCCCACACGGCCCCCCACAAACCTCAGCTGTGAGGTACTCCAGAATCGCAGCACTGTACACAGCAGCAGTGGCACCCACCCGTCCGTGGCTGGTGGTGCGAGTCTTCAAGTGTCTGTGGATGCGGCCCACAGGAAACTGAAAAAGAGACATCTTGTTGGGAAGCACTGCAGAGTTTTAACAACATACGGTTGAGCGTAATTGAACGCTTAATGATATCACAGGCCAAATTTCCTCGGGAATTAACAGTCTAGGGCCTATATGTATGTGCTGGTAATCAGCCTTAAATCTTGAATTTGTGCACAACAGTTTCACGGTAAAAATGAAAATTATACCATGATGTTATCAATTACATGTTCAATATAGCCCAATAATCACAACTGTATTTAATCAATTCTTTCACATAAAGTCACATGACGTTGAACCCCCACCATTCTCCTCTGACCCTAACTCTGTTCTTTCCTCAATTTCAAAAGGTCACCCGATAGTTAAGAAAAATCAATCCCAGCCGGGCGGTGGTGGCACACGCCTTTAATCCCAGCACTCGGGAGGCAGAGCCAGGCGGATCTCTGTGAGTTCGAGGCCAGCCTGGTCTACAGCGTGAGATCCAGGAAAGGCGCAAAGCTACACAGAGAAACCCTGTCTCGAAAAACCAAAAAAAAAAAAAAGAAAAATCAATCCCTTAGCCAGGTGTGGTGGCGCATGCCTATAATCCCAGCACTTGGGAGGCAGAGGCAGGCGGATCTCCGAGTTTGAGGCCAGCTTGGTCTATAGGACTAGTTCTAGGACAGCCAAGGCTACACAGAGAAACCGTTTCAAAAAACCAAAAAAGAAAACAACCCAAAACAAAACAAACCCAACCAACCAACCAAAAAAATCAATCCCACCTTTTCATTGTGACTTCTCATTCCCTAGTCCTACTTACTTGCATTCTCTAATCTGCTTATTTAAGTGTGTTTTAGTTTGGGGTGCTGGTAATACAACCCAGGGCCTTGCACATGCTAAGGAGCTCTACCACAGAGCTACATTCCAAGACTCCACTCTCTGCCACTTTACCGCCTCGCCTCGTTGTTTCAACAATTCCAATTCCTTCCGTCCCGCTGGCTATCCAGGTCTGCAAACTTTAAAAACAAATCCGGGGCCCTTCCTTTGAGTGGATTTCTTTACTCGTCTGAGGTAATCTTACATGTCATGGTTGGCCTCGCCTTCTCAATCCTCTGGCCACAGCATCTGTAGCACTGGGGTTCCAGGGATGTGCTACAACTTGGTACCTGCACCTCAGTCTTCTGTTCTCACTTCTCCCCACCCAAACTTGGCTTCTGAGAAGTACTATTTTTTTTTTTCAGAGTTGAGGACCGAACCCAGGGCCTTGTGCTTGCTAGGCGAGCGCTCTACCACTGAGCTAAATCCCCAACCTCGAGAAGTACTATTTTTTGAAGTCCAGGATGTTTAGTTACCAAATCTAGCAGTCACTTGTAGCTCTCATTCTTAAGGGGAAAGATCATTTCCAGAAGTAATTATAATTTTCTTAAGAGCACAAACAATCAATGCCTCACTCCTGTTTTGTACTATTGGTGAGGTGTGCTGTCTGGTACATAATAAGACACCCAAACCATCTCATACTTAGCTTTAGAGACCATAAAGAACTTTACTTTCAATTAAACTATTTATTTTATGTGTATGGATGCAGAGTATGTGAGTCTAGTTCCTTCAGTGGTCACTGGATCCCCTAAAACTGGAGTACAGTTGTGATCTGCCATATGGGTGCTTGAACTCAAACCAGGATCTTCTGGAAGAACAGCCAGTTCTCTTAATAGTTGAGTCTCTCTCGAGCCCTACAACGAGGTCTTTAAGACGGTGTCTTAGGTGGGGGTGGGGTGGTACACTCCTTCGATCCCAGCACCGGGAGGCAGAGGCAGGCAGATTTCTGAGTTTGAGGCTAGACTGGTCTACAAAGCAAGTTCTGGGACAGCCAGTGCTACACAGTAAAACCCTGTCCCAACACCTCCCCACCCAAAGCAAAGACATGGCCTTGCTAAGTTTCTCCGACTGCCCTGGGCCTTCTGAGTAGGGGGAAGCAAAGGCATGTGCTCAGTGATTCTCTGCTTTGGTCACAGCTACAGGACCAAGCAGCCCTTGAAGAACAACTGAGTGGCTGGCAAACAACTGGAATCCAGCCCTGGGGAGAGAAGACATTAGGCCCACAAGTTACAGGACCTGTCTACAGACACTGCCCCTAGCCAAAACAAGGAAAAAATACTTGAAAGGGATCATTAATGTTCTTGTATTTCTGAGTCTCTTAGATTAGGACACTCATCCACAACATTAACTTTACATAAACGATCTGAAACCTTTAGAAACCTGGACTTGTTTCCACTTTTAGATTTTTTTTTTTTTTGGTTTTTCGAGACAGGGTTTCTCTGTGTAGCTTTGCGCCTTTCCTGGAACTCGCTTTGGAGACCAGGCTGGCCTCGAACTCACAGAGATCCGCCTGGCTCTGCCTCCCGAGTGCTGGGATTAAAGGCATGCGCCACCACCGCCCGGCCACTTTTAGATATTTTAATATGCATTTCCGTGAACTTCAGTGACTGGCATTACATTCATCTTCTAGCGCGTTCATACTACAATTTCTATGTCTCTTTTAGATTAGAAAGTTCCAACTCTTAGAGAAACCTTATCTGTTCAACTCTATACCTCTTTCCATCTGCTGCCGCTCCTTTTTTTGTAGCTCTAGAGGCTGAACCTAGGGTCTTACAACATGCTGGGCAAGTGCTTTACAACTAAGTGACATCCCTCCCTTTCTTTGTATTTTGTCTTTAATCTTGCTGTACAGAGTGTGGGTTGGCCTCCAACTTGCAGAAATCTTCCTGCTTCTGCTTCCTGAGTGCTGAGATTACAAGCTTTGTACCACACATCAGACTTGCTTTCTATTTTTTGAGGTAAGCTGCCCAGACTAGTCTTGAACATATTATGTAGCCCAGACTGGCTTTGAATTTGTGATCTGGCCTCAGCCTCCTAAGCAGCTGGTATCACAAGCAACACCAAACTCCCTTAGTTACATGGATTTTTTTTTTTTAAACAAAGCCATGCTCATTTTAGTTTTAAGATTTTGTGTGTACAGGCATTTTGCCTTGTATGTATGTCTGTATACCATTTGCATGCCTAATCCCCTGGACTAGAGTTACAGACACTTGTAGCTGCCATTGGGATGCTGAGAATTGAACCCATGTTCTCTGAAGAACAGCCAGTGCTCTTAACTACTGAGTTCTCTCTCCAACCCCTACATGAATGCGTGTGTGTGTGTGTGTGTGTGTGTGTGTGTGTGTGTGTGTGTGTGTGTGTCCGTGTCCCCTGTTCCCTGTTCCCCAGAGACAGGGTTTCCCTGTGTGGCTCTGGCTGTCCTGGAACTTGTTCTGTAGACCAGGCTGGCCTCGAGCTCAGAGATCCACCTACCTCCGCCTTCCAAGTGGTAGGATTAAAGGCATGTGCCACCGCCGCCCAGCTGCATGCATTTTTAAAATCCCTTTAAACCACTCAATTATTCATCTTAATTTAAAATTGTTTACTACACTTCTTTCTTTGTGTCTGTGTACCCAGGGAGGCCAGCAGAGGGCACTGAATCCCCAGGTGTTGGAGCTACAGTTTAAGGTAAGGGACGCCCAAATGAGAGCAGGGAAGCTCTGTAGTCCTCTAGAAGAGGAGCAAGCACTCTGAGTTGCTGAACCATCTCTCTAGGCCCCTACTTACTTATCTGTGTATCAGTCAGAGGACAGCTTGCAGAAACTGGACATCTCCTTCCACCATTTGGGTCCGGAGGCATCTGGAGGTAAATGCCTTTACATGCTGGTCCATCTCACCATCCCTTCCTTTCCTTCTTCTCCCTCTCCCCCCACCCCTTTGTTTATTCCTTAAATCAACCCAACAATCTCCACTGACTACTGCCAAGCTTAAATACACCTGAAATAAATTCTGGAAATTTAAGTAGTGACCTAGAATACACAATAAATGCTTTAAAGCTAAGTTCCTGGGCTACAGCAGACAGCTCAACAGTTAAGAGGACACACTGCCCTTGCAGAGGGCAGAGGATCTGGGTTTGGCTTTAGCATGCACATGGCAGCTCACTCCAGTTCCAGGGGTTCCAAGGTCAGGCTGGCATCAAACTCAGAGATCTGCCTGCCTCTGCTTCCTGAGTGCTGGGTTAAAGGCGCGTGACCACCATGGCTGTTTTCATTTTTAGTTTAATTTTGTGTATATGATTGTTCTGCCTGTGTGTATTCACATCATGTACGGAGGTCCAAAGGAGGCACTGGAACCCCTGGGAAATAGTTCAGTACTTACCTAGAATGTGTAAGCCTGGGTTCCATTATTATTATTATTATTATTATTATTATTATTATTACTATTATTAAGATGTATCTATTTCTAGTCAGGCAGTGGTGGTATACACCTTTAACCCCAGCACTTGGGAAGCAGAGTCAGGCCTCTAAGTTTGAGCCAGCCTGGTCTACAGAGTGAGTATCAGGATAGCTAGGGCTACACAGAGAAACCCCATCTTGAAAAACAAAAATCAAACAAACAAAAATTATACACCTTTATTTATTTATTTTGGTTTTTCGAGACAGGGTTTCTCTGTGTAGCTTTGCGCCTTTTCCTGGAACTCACTTGGTAGCCCAGGCTGGCCTCGAACTCACAGAGATCCGCCTGGCTCTGCCTCCCGAGTGCTGGGATTAAAGGCGTGCGCCACCACTGCCCGGCTACACCTTTATTTTTATGTGTATGAGAGTTTGCCTGCATTGATGTATGTTCACCACGTGTGCCTGGTGCCCAAAGAGGCCATAACTCCCCTAGAAATAGAGCTACAGATGGTTGTGAGTTACCATGTAGGTTCTGGGAACCGAATCTGGTCCTCTAAAACAGCAAATGCTCTTAACCACTGAGCCAACTACCCAGCCCCCTGCCCCACTACTAAAGATCCGTCTGGCTCTGCCTCCCAAGTGCCAGGATTAAAGGCGTACGCCACCACCGCCCAGTTTCCAGCCCCTTTTAAAGCATTCCTATGTGCAGGGAATAATTTTCCCTCATCTAGAAAAATCTGAGTCTGTAGGTTAAAGTTGTAATAATTCACATACATGAAATTTGAAAATACTTAGGAGTTTAGAGCATACTTCTCAGTCTACAATGGAGGTCTTTTAGGAAATATTCAGAGAATAGTGCAATAATCCAATATTGGCCTCTAATTGTATCCTATCCTGAAAGTCAATGAACCACTGCAAACACTCTCAAAAGGAAAACCAGAGTATACTCACTTGAGGTTTATAAGAATGAAGAACAATTATAATCTTGAAAGAACAAGTATTTTTAAAAAGAGATGTATTTTGTTTTTATGTCTATGTGTGTCTGTGAGCAGGTGTTACAGGTGGCTGTGACCCTTCCGATGTGGGTGCTGGGAACGGACCCCAGGTATTCCACAAGAGCAGCACACACTCTTAACTGCCAATTCAGTTTCCCAGGCCCAAGGACTGATACTAATAGGGAAAAAGCCACCAAGTTTGTTAAGACATCTTGTTCTCTCATAAAACACAAATGAATGGCCTGCTTTATAGTTTAAGTCTTAAGCAGTTATTCTCACATTCAAGGTCTATCATAATAAAAGGACATTTCTGTAACTAATGAACCATCTCCGGCTCATGAATTACGAAGGGAAAGAAAACATGGAACTGTGACAGAATGGATTCATTCATTACCTGCAGCCCAGCTCTCTGGGAGCGTGACACCGCCTTAGCCTTGGCCTTCCCACTGTCTTTTCCAGCTTTGCCTCCAGCCTAGATAAAAACAATTTGGAGTTGAAAATGTTAACGCAAAATAAATAAATAAATAAATAAATAAATAAAAAAATCACAAAACAAAATTTTTGCTTTAGGAAAATTTTCTAATAAAAAATTGAAAACTTAAGATATCTAGGTGATTTCCTGCCTCATTGTAAATATATATGATATTACTTTCTATTAATACATTAAAAAAACAATCACTAACACTTATTCAAAGTTTAGGGTATGTATAAATTGGTATGTATAAATTTTGCAAATTTCTGATTGATCATATAAGTTTCATGCATTTCAGAAACATTTAACTTTTCAAAAAAAAATCAGCATAACATTATTTCTACAGAAAATTGAGAATTTAGTTTTTCTGGGAGGCAAAGCAACCATGTTATCAAAACTTAGGCTAACAAAACAAACATTGAAGAAGAGAATGATGTGCCTCAGCATCCAGCAATTCCATTTCTGGTTATAGACTCTAACAAGCCAAGCCGCAAACAGGTACATTATTTCCAGCAGCCAAACAAACAGAATCAGTAAAGTTCAATGGACAGAAACGAAGGCTGTTGGTCACTGGGTTATGTCCTTACAGAATGTACTACTATAACTGACTGCTTCCTGGCCAGCCATGAAGTAGACACACTCTTGCTACCACTATGCTTTCCCAAAGAGTATGGGGCCAAGTGAGCATGGACCAAATCATTTGAAACCTCGAGGCAAAGTCTTTCCCCCCACTTTTTTTTTCTAGACAGGGTTTTTCTGTGTAGTCCTGGCTATCCTGCTGGGACTCTCTCTGTAGACCAGGCTGGCCTCGAACTCATGGAGATCCACCTGCCTCTGCCTCCTGAGTGCTGTGCACCACCACAGCCCAGCAGTCTTTCCTTCTTTTAACCTTTCTGTCAAGAATCTGGTGGTGTTGATGAGGAAATAATTAACAGAGAAATTTAGTACCAGGAGTGGGGGTATTGCCATGACTATACTTGACCTGTGGCTCTTAGGTTTCTGGAACTGATTTACAGGAGGAATGTGGAAGAGTTTGGAGATGTGGGCTATAGAAGCCCTAGAATGTTATAAACAGAACTCAACCAGCAATTCTGTGGAGCTCAGAAGAATAAAGCACATTTAAAAATACACAACAGGTCGGGCAGTGGTGGCACTCGCCTTTAATCCCAGCACTCGGGAGGCAGAGGCAGGCGGATCTTTGTGAGTTCGAGCCCAGCCTGGTCTACAGAGCGAGATCCAGGAAAGGCGTAAAGCTACACAGAGAAACCCTGTCTCGAGAAAACAAAAAACAACAACAACAACAAAAACCCAAAACAAAATACACAACAAAGATGATACAGGGATTCAGACAGGAACAAAGACTACTAGGAAAGAGACTAAGAGTCACTCATATTATATTTGTCTCTATTTTGTATGTGTCCTGAAACTTTGGGGGAGGCTGATTCAAAGGTGTCACATGAGTGAATTGAGGGAAGGGGCTTTCAAGACTACGGCGCACCCGAGCTTTGGCACTGCCATTGCTAGCTGCTGTGAGCAAAGATCAGGAGCGAAAAGCTCAGTATTTAAAAATAGACATTTTAGCTGGGTGGTGGTGGCGCACATCTTTAATTCCAGCACTCAGGAGGCAGAGGCAGATGGATCTCTATGAGTTTGAGCCCAGCCTGGTCTACAGAGCAAGTTCCCAGGACAGCCAGGGCTACACAGAGAAACCCTGTCTTGGGAAAAACAACAACAACAAAAAAACCAACAAAAACAAACAAACAAAAAAAAAAATAAAGGAACAAAACCAATAAACTGCTATTTACCTCAATCTCCCAAACCACATATAATTAATTCTTTCAACTTTAAAATTAAAATAGTTGATGACTAAGAAAGAGAAAACCTGTAAGAACTGGGCTATGCAGATGGCTCAGCAGGTAAAGATAACTGGCACTAACCTTACCACTTCAGCTTGACCCCTGAGACTCACTGGTGAGAGGAGAGAAGAGACTTCAGCAAGTTGTCCTCTGGCCTCCATAAGCCCACCCTTACATATACACAATAAATACGTACTTTAAAAAATGAAATGAGACAAAATTTCTTATCCCAAAAATTGTGTGTTAGACTGGGCTAAACTTCTCCGTTTAAAAAGTTTATTCATGGAAGCTCTAGAACAAAAGGAAGCAAACTCACCCAGGAGAAATAGACGCCAGGAAATAATCAAATTGAGGGCTGAAATCAATGAAATAGAAACCAAGAGAACAATACAAAGAATCAACGAAACGAAGAGTTGGTTCTTTGAAAAAAATCAAGTATATAGACAAACCCCTAGCCAAATTAACCAAAAGGCAAAGAGAGAGCACCCAAATTAACAAAATCAGAAATGAAAAGGGAGACATAACAACAGACAACGAGGAAATCCAGAGAATCATCAGGTCATACTTCAAAAACCTGTACTCCACAAAATTGGAAAATCTGAAAGAAATGGATGATTTTATGGATAGGTACCCCATACCAAAGTTAAATCAAGACCAGATAAACTAGTTAAATAGACCAATAACCCCTAAGGAAATAGAAACAGTCATTAAAAGTCTCCGGACCAAAAAACGCCCAGGACTAGATGGTTTCAGTGCAGAATTCTACCAGATTTTCAAACAAGAGCTAATACCAATACTCTTCAAATTGATCCACACAATAGAAACAGAAAGAAAATTACCAAACTCTTTTTATGAGGCTATAGTTACCCTCATACCCAAACCACACAAAGATGCAACAAAGAAAGAGAATTACAGACCAATCTCCCTCATGAACATTGATGCAAAAATACTCAATAAAATACTGGCTAACTGAATCCAAGAACACATCAAAAAAATTATCCACCATGACCAAGTATGATTCATCCCAGGGATGCAAAGATGGTTCAACCTTCGAAAATCTGTAAATGTAATACACCACATAAACAAACTGAAAGAAAAAAAAAAAAACATGATTATCTCATTAGATGCTGAAAAAGCCTTTGACAAAATCCAACATCCCTTCATGATAAAAGTCTTGCAGAGATCAGAATACAATGAACATACCTAAACATAATAAAGGCAATTTACAACAAGCCAACAGTCACTATCAAATTAAACAGAGAGAAACTCAAAGGGATTCCACTAAAATAAGGAACAAGACAAGGCTGTCCACTCTCTCCATATGTATTCAATATAGTACTTGAAGTTCTAGCTAGAGCATTAAGACAACAAAAGGAGATCAAGGGGATACAAATTGGAAAGGAAGAAGTCAAACTTTCACTATTTGCAGATGATACGATAGTACACATAAGTGACTCCAAAAATTGTACCAGGGAACTCCTACAGCTGATAAACTTCAGTAATGTGGCAGGATACAAGGTCAACTAAAAAAAAAAAAATCAGTAGCCCTCCTAAACACAAATGATAAAAGGGCTGAGAAAGAAATCAGAGAAACATCACCTTTTACAACAGCCACAAATAATATAAAATATCTTGAGGTAACACTGGCTAAACAAGTGAAGGACCTGCATGACAAGAACTTTAAGTCTCTAAAGAAAGAAACTGAAGAAGATATCAGAAAATGGAAGACTCTCCCATGCTCATGGATAGGTAGGATTAAAATAGTAAACATGGCAATCTTACCACAAGCAATCTACAGATTCAATGCAATCCCCATCAAAATCCCAAAACAATTCTTCACAGACTTGGAAAAAACAATACTCAACTTCATATGGAAAAACAAAAGACCCAGGATAGCTAAAAGAATCCTGTACAATAAAGCAACCTCTGGAGGCATCACCATCCCTGACCTCAAGCTCTACTATAGAGCTATAGTAATAAAAACAGCTTGGTATTAGCATAAAAACTGACATATGGACCAATGGAATTGAATTGAAGGCCCTGACATTAATCTGCACACACATGAACACCTGATTTTTGACAAAGAAGCCAAAACTATACAATGGAAAAAAGAAAGTATCTTCAACAAATGGTGCTGGCATAACTGGATGTCAATATGCAAAAGATTACAAATAGATCCATATCTGTCACCATGCACAAAACTCAAGTCCAAGTGGATCAAAGACCTCAACATAAATCCAGTTACACTGAACTTGATAGAAGAGAAAGTAAAAAGTACACTTGAGCCGGGCGGTGGTGGCGCACGCCTTTAATCCCAGCACTCGGGAGGCAGAGCCAGGCGGATCTCTGTGAGTTCGAGGCCAGCCTGGTCTCCAAAGCGAGTTCCAGGAAAGGCGCAAAGCTACACAGAGAAACCCTGTCTCGAAAAACCAAAAAAAAAAAAAGTACACTTGAACGCATTGGCACAGGAGACCACTTCCTAAATATAACACCAGCAGCACAGACACTGAGCACAACAATTAATAAATGGGACCTCTTGAAACTGAGAAGCTTTTGTAGGGCAAAAGACACGGTCAATAAGACAAAAAGACAGCCTACAGGATGGGAAAAGACCTTCACCAACCCTACATCTGACAGAGGGCTGATCTCCAAAATATATAAAGAACTCAAGAAACTAGACATTAAAATACTGAACAAACCAATTAAAAAATGGGCTACAGAGCTAAACAGAATTCTCAAAGGAAGAATCTCAAATGGCTGAAAGACATATAAGGAAATGCTCAACATCCTTAGTCATCAGAGAAATGCAAATCAAAATGACTCTGAGATACCATCTTACACCTGTCAGAATGGCTATGATCAAAAACACTAATGACAGTGTATAATGGAGAGGATGCGGAGCAAGGGAACACTCCTCCACTGTTGGTGGGAATGCAAACTTGTACAATCACTGTGGAAATCAGTATGGCGGTATCTCAGAAAACTAGAAATCTATCTACCTCAAGACCCAGCCATACCACTCTTGGGCATATACCCAAGGAATGCTCAATCATACCACAAAGATACATGCTCAATTATGTTCATAGCAGCCCTATTTGTAATAGCCAGAACCTGGAAACAAACTAGATGCACATCAACTGAAGAATGGATTAAGAAAATGTGGTACATATACACAACGGAGTACTACTCAGCAGAGAAAAACAATGACAGCATGAAATTTGCAGGCAAATGGATAGAACTAGAAAATATCATCCTGAGCGAGGTAACCCAGATTCAGAAGGACAAACATGGCATATCCTCATTCGTAAGTGGATACTAGATATAAAGCAAAGGACAATCAGACTGCAACCCACAGATACAGGGAGGCTACCTAGCAGGGAGGACCCTATGATTACTGTGGCTTATAATAAGTATTGGTTTTGCCCAATCACTGGGCATGCTTTAGTGAAACATTTCACTATTAGGATAAGAATTTGTACCGTATCAAGCTGATGAAAGGATATGCTGGCTGTACTTTCAGGAGGGGAGGCTAAAATCTTTTTAGATTATGGATTAGCCTATAAAAAAAAATGTCTGCCGTAAATCAAACAGTGAAGGGGAAGATGAATAGGAATCTCACTTACACAACTTAAGTAAAACATAGCTCTCTGAACAGATGAAGATAGGTTTCTCCTGTATCACAGAATCTAACGAATATTTATATGTATAATTCAGCTATCATTTGGCTTAAAAAGACTTATTGGGAAATGTTATCATTTATACTATTTTCTACAGAGACAATATTTTTCAGTTTCAATTAACTCTGGACTTTGGAATTATAACCTGTTTTTATGTTAAAAAAAATTAAGTGAAAAATGCTGAAGGACCACTGAACTCGATGTTGTATTTACATGTCTATATCGGTATAAAATAATGATTATAGGAGCTGAAGAGATGGCTCAGTGGTTAAGAGCACTGCCTGCTCTTCCAGAGGTCCTGAGTTCAACTCCCAGCAACCACATGGTGGTTTACAACCACCTCTAGTGAGATCTGATGCCCTCTTCTGGCATAAAGTTGTACATGTAGATAAAGCACTCATATACATAAATAAATAATAATTAAAAAAATAATGATTATAAATGCTTAAGAAGGTGAAGTGCAAATGTGAATTTAACAAGATTTCCAACACTGTACACAAACTCCTTTGTTACAAATAAATATCTATGCTTCTAAATAAAAACAAGTTTATTCATGGGAAAAGGAGCACACTGAAATATATTTTCACTCCTGAAAAACTTGGAAACTGGATACTTTGCTATTACTCTAATAGACACACTTTTACTTCTTGTCAATTAAAAAAAATCTTTATATCTTTACCAAGGAAAACAATGCTTCCAGTATTTTTTTAAATCTAAAGTTAATGCTTATGTACATTTGGACAGATATTGAAAACCTCTCACCAGAATTTGAGAAAGAAAAAAGGGGATCATGAATACCAACTGCTTGAGCAAATTAATCTATTTACAAACAAGTAACCTGTGCTGCCTGTCAGAGTAATTTCCTATGATCGCCACATAACAATGACAGTTGACAGAGCTTTGCTTGTTCGAAGTTTAAGAATTTTACAGTCCAAACTTGGATACTTTCCATTAGCCAATCTGCTCAGAGTCATCTACTAAACACCTCACATGTCATCAACGTGAGACAAATCACATTATTTGCGGTATGAGAAACGATAGCCTGCGGTTGATTTAACTTTTAATCAAGCAGCACCTGTTGAAGGTACCTGGTCTTGTGAAGATGTAAATGAAACTCAAAGTAATAAAATTGATGCACTGCCTCCAAATACCCCAAAGATAAGTAAGTAGTCTGCTAACCAGGCCTGTGAGGGGTAAGGGGAATTTAGGTGCTAAGATATAGTAGTTAATTCACTGGGACTGATCCTGCCAATCAGACTCCATTCCCATGACAAAGGAGACAGTAGCTAAACCCAGATTCCCATACCCAAAGACAGATCTCTAACTGGCAGCTCAAGGAGGCAGGAGCACACGGTCACAACCATCATTAAGTCCTACTCTGCCATTTATTCCCTTGTGCTCTTATCAGGAAAAACATAATTCTGCCAGGCGGGCAAGATGACCCCGGGTAATAACTATTCGAAAAAGAACAACACTGGCATACTTACAATAATCCTGGCAATATGTAGTATTTTTGCTGTGTAAATCTCCTAGCTGCCTAAGTGGCCAGACTTGCAATCTCCTGCCTCTGTTTTAATTGCTCGAAGTGTAACCTGGGACCCGAAAAGAGATTTCAGGATGACAATGTCTGTGGAATGCACAAGCTTAAAATGTACATAAATTAGTAAGAGCTTCCGTTGAAGGCCGGCTCTTGCTTGGGGGTGTTAGCCCAGCCGTACAAACGTTACTAAAGAGCTTTTCTTTAATTAATCTCTTAAGTGTGTGGAGAGAATCCTTACTGGGAAGGCATATTATTTCTGTAACAGTAAAAGGATACTTAAAACAGGAATACCGACATAAATACAATTCCAAAATGAGAGCGTCATTCTCAACGCAAAGGTTTCTGTTGCTTTTAGCACTTTCTCCTTCCCCTGAATTTTAGAATGGGGCTAAAGTTTTATTCACTTTCGTTTCTTAAAATCCGCTTTCAACTAGATCTGAACTGCAGAATGAAAAGATACTTTAAGATGAAGCCATGTAAATAAACTCCTGTTGCAAAGAAGTCGGGGAACAAACCCAGTGACCGCCTCAAGCCGGTGCAAACCGCGAACCGACTGAGCGGGACTGGTGGGCAGGATCAGAACTCCTCCGATCCTCCGCAGGGGCATTACGTAACCCAGGACCGAAGACGCAGAACTTGCACGGCTGCCGCGGGACCTCCTCCGTGCGCCGCAGAACCCGCCCCTGCTTCTGCCGCCCGCGTCCGGCGCGGCCCCCCAGGCGGAGTCCGGCCCCAGCTGGCGCTCCCGCTCGGCCGCGCGACACCGCCCACTCCCGGCTCCATAGGTGGAGATGCCGCCCGGGGCTTCCGCGCGCCTACTTCCCGCATGACCCCGCACTCACCATGGTCTCGGCCGCGAGACTGCCACCGTAGCCCCGCGCCGCCGCCGCTCTCGCAGCCGGACCACCGCTGCGGGAGCCGGACAATGCCCGGGGCCCGCCTCGCGCCGCCGCCACCAATAGCCGCTCACGTTGTTCATTTGAACCTCGGCGGCGGGCCAATTGTACGCCTCCTTCTAGTCAGAACCCCGCCCTCTCGGCACCGCCTCCCTAACGGCTGTTTGGTTTTGCACACGGCACTTGGAGGCGGGGCCTCCAACCCCAACATTGACGCGCTCTCCGCCTCTCTCCTGGCTCGGAGTCTGATGAACAGAAGAAAGAACCAATGAGAGAAGAGAAACGCCGATGAAAACATTGCCGGCAGCACCGGAGGCGGGAGTCTGGGAACAACAGCGGGATGAGCCAATGGACTGGAGTGATTCGGCGCAGCTGTGCCTTTCCCGCCCGTTCAAGATCCCGCTCGGCCTTCTTAGTTCGCTTTGTTTTTCTTCTGTTACTAGAAGTTTAGGGGTAACGTCGAACTAGCACGGAAGGAAAGGTCCAAAGTGCAATTATCTTCGTGCGGAGGCTATTGTGAAAATTTAGGAATGTGTGTGAATCGCACTTGGCACGTAGTAAAATTCCCTAGTTATCTTCGACCCGTTCATACAACTTTAAAACGCTTCGTTATTTTTGTGATTATCATTGAACCTGGGCGGTTTGAGAGAGCCACATCTATTTCTCAGCTGAAGAAATGAGCTTAGGAGAACGTAGGCTTTTCCATACAGCCCATCGGGATTCTTAAGACTTCGTACTGGTTCCAGCTTCAAACGCTTTCTTCTTTTCGCCTATGGAAGAACAGACTAATTCTAGGAATTAATTGTGAACAAAATAATTCTCTACTTTTTTTTGTTTTGTTTTGAGACTTCATTCTTGTGGTTGGGTTTTTCTAAGCCAGTGTGTTTAGAAATTTACCTCCAGGTAGACGATATCTGCCCCCAAATTTGAATTACATTTCTTTTGACAGTTAACCTCTATCAGAAGAAGCAACCTGGAAAAGTGAGTCTTTCCGGAAAAAAATAATTTGAATTCTAGACGAGGAAGGGATGAACTTCTAGTTGACTTTGGAGAAAAAAAAACCCAAATGAAGATATGGACAAGTCTGAGGAGAAGGGGACCAATGAAATCGGGAATAAATGTACACTGTACTCAGAGACTAGAACTGAGTTCAGAGTTGGGAGTTAGTTCACTAGACAGTACTCTGTTAATTCAGGACATATTGGTCTACCAGGGAATGGCATTACCAGTGTACCAAGACATAAGCCAACTATTATCTTTCTACAAACATTGAATCCAAATCATTAGCACAGTATTGAAGGCCCTACGTTTTCTGACCCCTGCTCACCTTTTTTTTTTTAAGATTTATTTATTTATTGATACATATATCCCTGCCGACCAGAAGAGGGCACTAGATCTCATTTCAGGTGGTTGTGAGCCACCAGGTGGTTGCTGGGAATTGAACTTCAGACCTTTGGAAGAGTAGCCAGTGCTCTTAACCGCTGAGCCATCTCTCCAGCCCTCACCTTGTTTTTTTTTTTTATCACTTCCACCATCACCTTAAACTCCATCTTGCCTTTGCACATGGTTTTGCCTTTTCATAAAACAATCCTCTGTCTTATCTTCTTTAACCATCTTTTAAGAGTAAACACAACCAGACATGGTGGGATACACCTGTAATCTTAGTACTTGGTAGGCTGAGGCAATTATCACAAGTTCAAGGCCAGCTTGGGCTCCATGCAGAGACCCTGTCTCCAGGAAAAATGAAAGAGCTTACTGCAGATGTTTTCCAGAAAAATTTCCATATCAATTTGAGGTGAGTGCCCTTCTATATGGCTGTAGCATACATTATATATGGTAAGGTTTTTTTTTTTCTTTTTAGGGTTTTTTTTTTTTTTGCCTAGTATTCTAGAAATGTTAGTTGACAAATTAAATTTAAAAAAAAAAACATTTATATCGCTGATAGTGTCATCTATGGAAAGACTTGACTGGGTCCAGACTTTTTTACTTAACAATCATGTGATTTATGTAAAGTATTTTATATCACCAAGCCTATTTTTGCTGTTTGTAAAACTGCCGGGCGGTGGTGGCGCACGCCTTTAATCCCAGCACTCGGGAGGCAGAGCCAGGCGGATCTCTGTGAGTTCGAGGCCAGCCTGGGCTACCAAGTGAGTTCCAGGAGAGGCGCAAAGCTACACAGAGAAACCCTGTCTCGAAAAACCAAAAAAAAAAAAAAAAAAAAAAAAAAAAAAAAAAAAAAAAAAAAAAAAACTGAAAAAAGCACTACCTTTTTTTTTTTTTTTGGTTTCTCAGTGTAGCTTTCCTGGAACTCACTCTGTAGCCCAGGCTGGCCTCGAACTCACAGAGGTCTGCTTGCCTCTGCCTCCCAAGTGTTGGGGTTAAAGGCCTGCGGCACCACCGCCCGGCAAGCACTATTTTAAAGGATTGTGCATGTGTGTATACGGGCATGGGTCCACATGTATGAGTGCCTGTACACACATGTGGAGGTCAGGTGTCCTCCTCTATCTATCTCTCCAGTCTATTCCCTTGAGACAGGGTCTCTCACTGAACCAGAAGCTTGTCATTGCAGCTAGCCAGCAAGCTCTCAGCACCTGTCTATCTCTGGACCCAGTTCTGGGGTTATAGGCAGGTGAGGCCAGTGTTACAGCTTTTGACTTTGTTTTTTTGTTTGTTTGTTTGTTTGTTTGTTTGTTTTTAAAGATTTATTTATTTATTATGTATACAGAAGAGGGCGCCATATCTGATTACGGATGGTTGTGAGCCACCATGTGGTTGCTGGGAATTGAACTCAGGACCTCTGGAAGAGCAGTCGGTGCTCTAACCTCTGAGCCATCCCTCCAGCCCGCTTTTGACTTTGTAACTGAATTCATTGGGCCTAAACCCTTGCCTCCCTGGACTCTTCCAGTGTTCAGGGCTTGTGGTTGCTGTTCTGTGGCTCCGTGCAGCCTTTTGTACCCTTTCAGGCTCAGCTCTCTGTCCTCACTCTCCTTTGCTGTCCTTCCTGCCATGGCCTCTCTTGAGCGGTTTGGCTGCCTTGTTCCTTTCACAGCTGTTTAGATGTTTAGATTAGCCTCTCACTGCTAAACCACTCCCCTCCCCTCCCCGCTTCTCTCTCCTCTCTCCTTTGAGATAAGGTCTTTCAGGAAATAGCTAAGGCTGGCCAGGAACTCACTATGTAGCCCTAGTTGACCTCAAAGTTATAGAAATCATACAAAATATGGGTGAAAAATTAGTAAGATAACATCAAAATCCTCACTTATTGAAGCTACTGGCAAGGAATTATGGGTTAATTTTAGTGTAAGAGCTAGTCAGTATTAAGCCTGAGCTAATATTAAGCCTCTGTGTGATTATTTTATAAAAGGCTACAGGACTGTGGGTGAGAGATTTGTCCCAACCATGGGCCAGGTGGGACACAGGAAAACTTCCAGCTATACCAGGCTGGCCTTGAACTCTCAGAGATCTGCCTGCCTCTGCCTTCTGAATTCTGGGATTAAAGGCGTGTGCCACCACTGCCCAGCTCAGGTTAACTCTTAAGGACAGTAGGATAAATTTTTGGCCTATCTGTGTTGTGCACCATTAAGCAATTTATGAAAAATGAATACAGAGTGGCAGGGTAAATGGCTTAGTGAGTAACATGCTTTGCAAGCGCAATGCCTTGCTTTTAGATTCCTGGTACTCAAATAAAAAGTCAGACCAGGGGCTGGAGAGATGGCTCAGAGGTTAAGAGCACTGCTTGCTCTTCCAGAGGTCCTGAGTTCAATTCCTAGCAACCACATGGCGGCTCACAACCATCTGTAATGGGATCTGATGCCCTCTTCTGGCCTGCAGGCATACATGCTGTATACGTAATAAATAAACCTTAAAAAAAAAAAAAGTCTGGACAGAGGTGGTCCTTGCCTTTAATCCCGGCACTTCGGAGGCAGAGACAGGTGTATCTCTGTGAGATCAAGGCTAGCCTGGCCCACAGAGCATGTTCCAGGACAGCCAAGGCTAAAGAAACTCTATCTTGAAAAACAAAAATCAAACAAACCAGGAAAAAAAAAAAAAAGGTGTCTTAGCTACTTTATTTAGTCATTTATTTTGTTGTTGTTGTTGCTGTGCTAAAAACACCTTGAAAAAGCAACTTAAGGGAGAAAGAGGTTATTTTGGCTCACAGTTTGAGGTTATAATTCGTCTTAGTTACTATTCTACTGCTGTAATAAAGCACCATGACCAAGGTAACTTAAAAAAGAAAGCATTTAGGTGGGGCCTTGCTGACAGTTCCAGTGGGCGAGCTCATGATCGTCATGGTGGGGAGCATGGCAGCAGGCAGGCATGGTGCTGGAGGAGTAGCTGAGAGTTCACATCTGATCCACAAGCAGGAGGCAGAGAAAGTCTGGGCCTGGCATGGGCCTTCGAAACCTTGACGTCCACCCTCTGTAAAACCTCCTCCAAGAAGGCCACACCTCATAATCCTTCCTAACTAGTCTGCCAGCTGGGACCCAAACACTCAATTATATGAGCCTATAGGGGCCATTCTCGTTCAAACCGCCACATTCCTCTCCCTGTCCCCCATAGGCTTGTGACCACATCATAAATGCAAAACGTATTTAATTCAACTTCAAAGATTCCCATAGTTTTTTTTTCTTTTTACAGTCTCAACACAGTTTTAAAAGCCCAAAGTGTCTTCTGAAACTCAAGGTAATCTCTTGACTATAACCTTCTGTAAAATTAAAATCAAAAGCAAATGACATATTTCCAATATTCAGTGGCACAGAATATCCATTACCATTCTACAAGGGAGAAAAGGGTATAGTGGAGAAAGTAAGCAGGACAGCAGGACAGACTCCAAATCCTGTAAGTCCATGTCTGATGTCAAAGGGCTGAAAGGGTTGCTTTTTGGACCTTCTACTCCTTCCAGCTTTGCTGACAGCAACAGTTCTCTCTTGGGCTGTCTCCACACTCTGTCTGCAGCTCTCCTCTGCAGGCATCCCATGGCTCTGCAGCCTCTAACATCTTGGGGAGGTGCTCCAACAAAAGCCAGGCTTCGCTTTCACAGCTTCATGCAATGGCATCTCCGGACCTCCATGCAGGGACTCTGCCTGGCCTCAGTGGTTTTCTTTAACCGCAGAGGAAGATTC